GCAACCACCTGCGACTCCATCGCTGTGAACTTGCAAAAGCAATGCAAATGTCTTGAAGGACATGAACCTCTCATTGGTGGTTTGCCTCAAGCGGCCCAGGAGTATCCTCCAAAGTTGGTTGACGCCATCATCGACGGCCTCATCCTGGACTGGGCTCAACGACAACGTGGACTACCAGATCACCTGCCGACCCGAGGCGATTTTGAGCAGTGGTGCGACTCCATGCACCACAAAGAATTGTTTCACTGGCACAAGTTTCACGACAGCGCAGTGCTAATTCTCCGGAAGCCGGACAGCATCCCACGTTCTGGACCGGCGCATCGCATTTTGCGATGGACTTGGGCAAAAGGAGTCCTGGATGGCCGATGGATTCAACTTGAACGAGGACAACAAGGAGCGACACCGCGCTTCGAGGTCAAGTACCCCTTCGTGGTGGTACTCTACTATTTCCCGGCCATCAACCAGGTCCTTGCCACAGAAGAGGGAAAGAATGCCTCTGTCTCCACTCAGGAGAAGTCTATGGTGCTAAGAGCACATGTCAACCTGGGACATCCACAGATGAAAGAATTTGTTCGTCTCCTTCGCGCTGCAGGCACACGACCCGACATCATCGACTATGTCATGAAGGAGTTTGTCTGTGAAGGTTGTCTCAAGGAAAGACGACAGCCATCTCGACTTCCTGCAGCCACACCCAGGACTTACGACTTCAACGTCGTCATTGGCGTCGATTTGCTCTTTGTCATGGGCTGCAAGCCAACGGATGAGCACCCAATCCTCAATGTCACTTGCCTTGGAACATTGTACTCCACCTTCACCATGGTGGATGCCACGAGAAGGTCTTCGGCTATGGTCTGGTCTTCCTTCTTAAGATCATGGGTGAGAACTTTTGGAGCACCCAGCTTTCTCCTGTATGACCAAGGCCTGGAGTTCCAAGGTGCTTTTGTAGAAGGCTTGGAGGAGTTGGGGATTCAGCCCATTGTCATCGACCGTGACTCTCCATACCAGAATGGAACGGTTGAGCGCCGTGGTGGACTGTTCAAGGAGGTCTACTACAAGACTCGTGAACTTCGACAACCAGCTGATCTTCAAGAAGTACAAGACATGGTTCACGAAGTGGCATGGGCGCTCCAAACCATGACCAACAGGAGCGGTTTCTCTCCCGCTCAACGAGTCTTCGGTCGACAGCCCAGCATTGCTATGGAGTTGCTGAATGATGCTGGCACCTTTGAGCAGACGCAGTCACCAACAGCTGATGCAGCTTGGCTTCGAGCTGATGAGATCCGACAGGCTGCCAGAAAAGCTTTGATGGAAGTTGATGGGCGAGAACGCCTCAATCGAGCTGTACGAGCCCGACCTCGACGACAGCGAGAAGAACATGAGTTCAAGGAGGGCGACCCTGTCTACGTTTGGAGACAAGGGAAACGTGGAGCTCAAGCCAAAGTGGGGCCGTGCTTCGTTGTCCTTCAGAAAGGAAGCACTGTGTGGGTGACTCGTCGTGGAGAACTATGGCGATGCAACAAGACCCAGGTGTTCAAGATGGGCAATTTGGAAGCTCAAGGACTGGAAGTCATTCCAGCCGAGTTGCTGAGAGCCAAAGAACGTCTTCGCTTCCACCCTGAAAAGCTGGGATTCATCGATGTGGAGCAAGAGGGCGACCCACCAGACACAGCATTCCGAGATGAACAACCGGCTCCAACCGCTGGAAACATTCAGCGGAAGGCACCAGGAACACCAAGGGCACCAGCTACACCACGAGCACCACAAACACCGGTCTTGCAAGGACCCCCTGAAGGATTGAAGCAAGTTCAATCCTCACAGGCAAGGAGTGCTCCATCCACTCCGGCCATCATGCGAGAAGCTCCAAAGACGCCACCACCAGCTCGTGCACAGACACCAGACACCACATCAGCGAAGGGATCAACAGCAACTTTGGCAAGATCCCGATCGCCAGCACCGAGACCACAGCCACCACCAAAGACCGTGACCATCTCGGCTGATGATGAACCTCATCCAGCACAAGAGCCACCTCATGCATCACAAGAGTCAAGCACACAACAAGCAACACCTGCCGCAGCAGCACCAGCAGCAGCAGTTGTGCCGCAGGGCATGAGAGAAGGCGATGAGTTGTGGAAGGCAACAGTGGAGAATCAACTCTCCCGGAGCTCAGCGTCCACTGGACCAAATGCACCTCCCACACATGAGCAGTTGAAAGCCTGGACCCGCTACGACTTTGAGGCCAAGCGATACCGTGGCTCCAACTCACGCGGTCCTTTGTGGAGTGACGTGGTCCGCCGACTCACGCTGGACTTGGACGCCAACAAGATCATTCAGGATCTGACAATCACGGAGAACCTCTCTGTCCACAAGCTCCATGAGAAGCTCCCCACTGGAGTCAAGAACATTGAGACCACTCTCATCTACCGGCCACGACCTGGAAATCCAGATCCAGGCAAGCCTTATGAAGCACTTCTTCCTCAACCGGCTGAACAGCCAGCCAAGAAAGCACGAGTCCAAGAGCCACAAGAAGATGCCCGACTCACCGACGTCAGACTGGCCTGGAGCTCACGTCCTACACCTTCAGATGGACGAACTGCCAACAGGAGTAAGACCTTTGGCATCTGGCGAGCTGATGATGTCACTGAGTGGGGTGATAAGAGAAGATTTCCAGTGATTGCCAACAACCGCGACATCAAGCTCTTCTGCAAGTTGGAACATAAGGACATGCACTATGCCCTCAAAGAGCCAGAGTCCTCGTTGGCATACCTCACCAAACAAAGTGGCAAAGAACTTGATGAGAAGAAACTCACAGCCCAGGAAAAGGCCATGTTTGACAAAGCCAAGGTCCTTGAGATCACCAACCTGGTCAACTCCAATGCCATCCAGGTCATCACTGACCCTGATGAGCTCTCTCGCATTCGACGAGAGCTGCCACATCGCATCATGCCCAGCCGCTTCATCATCACAAAGAAGGCTGGTGAACTGGGCGAGGACTGGAAGGCTAAGGCCAGATGGATTCTCCTTGGACACAAGGACCCAGACGCCATGACCCAGGAGAGATTTGCACCTACTCCATCTTCCACCACTGTTATGCTTTGCCTCCAGGTCATCAGCAGCATGAACTATGAGCTGTACATCATGGATGTCTCCAGCGCCTTTGGCCAGAGTGACCCACATGAACGTGCTGAAGGTCCACTCTATGCATCCATGCCACCAACAGGCATTCCACAGCACAAGAGCACAGACCTGATCAGAGTGCTCACAGCCGTGTATGGTTTGGTGAACGCCCCAGCAGTTTGGCGAAAGACGGTTCGCAGGCACCTGACCGAGCTCAACTACAAGGAAAGTGTCTTCGACCCTTGCCTTTACTACCTGCCACCCACAGAGGAGGAGCTCAGCAGTGGACCACCACTCCAGGTGGCAGGAGTTGTGCTTTTGGATGTTGATGATTTCTGCCAAGGCGGCAACCAGAGGCATCAAGAGCTGATGAACCAGTTGCGCTCCAAGCTCAAGTTCGGGAAGTGGCGCAACGTCTACAAGAGCTCAGCTGAGTACATTGGCCGCACGCTCACACAGCTCGAAAACTATGAAGTCCAAGTGAGCATGAAGCGGTACATTGAAGAGAAGCTGAAGCCAGTGACCCTTCCTCGAGAACGGCTTCGTGACAAAAGCTCAAAGTTGACGGAGCAGGAGATCACATGGCTCCGTGGAGTTGGAGGATCCTTGCTTTGGATCGGGAAGGAGGCGAGGCCAGATGTTGGTGCAGCATGCGCTATGGCCATGAGCTGGAGTTCTGATGGCCCGACGGTTGAGCACATCCTCATGGCGAACAAGACCGTCAATGAACTGAAGCAGACGCCTGACGAGGTCCTGCGCATCCTCCCCATCGAGGCCAACAACGGCATTTGGATGACGGTGGCCGATGCTTCAATGGCCAATGTGGAGAATAAGTCGCAGGGAGGCTTCATCGTGGCATTTGCCCATGGCTCCATCCTGGACGGGCAGAAGGCAAGCTTCAGCATAAACAGCTGGAAGTCACACCGGCTGAAGAGGGTCATCAAGGCCACGCTCGGCAGTGAGGCTTTGGCCATGGACGATGCTTTGGCGGAGGTGGAATGGGTGAGAGCTTTATGGCATGAAGTGTTGAACCCAGCCACTTGTGTCATGGACGGCACCAGGCTTGGTTCGGAGCCGTCGGCGATGGTGGTGCGGCTCCCTGAGGAAGAGGCTGAGGATGTCAAGAGCATCCGGATCTGCGACAAGCAGAGTGGCATCCATGTCACGGACGCCAAGGCCCTCTACGACTTGTTGAGCAGGAGATCCGGGAACGCCGGACATGACAGAAGGGCGCAAATCGACGTGGCGGTGATCCATGTGAGCGCTCGGGCCTTAGGTGTCACCACCTTTTGGGTGCCAGGCAATCTGATGATTGCAGACCCTCTCACAAAGAGATTGGGCAACAGCACCTTGCTTCGCAAGACCATGAGCGAAGCGGCTTTTGCACTTTGTCGTGCTGCCAGTGAAGGGTGAGGATGGCCATGATATCCCCCCTAAAGGATGTGAAACAAACTGCCTTGTGCCCTGGCCATCCACACCTGTTGACTTTCCATGACCGTACCGGCCCAAACTTAGTGGCCACTTGAGTCTGCCTTGGAAAAGGCTTTCCTTGCCGTGCGCCATAGGCACTGCGTTTCCGCTGTTCATCACTTTCTTTTTTTTCTTTCTCTTGGACCTTTTGGCATAAAACCTCCAGTTCTTTTGGAGACTATTACTTTCAGTAGAACAATCATGCTACCGACGTCAGACTCTGGTCATCTAAGGAACATCTTATAAGTAGTCTTCACCAAACAACCATTAGATTGCAAAATAGGTCAACCATTCTATAAAGTGGCCTTTGAAGGCTAGGGTATTTTTATAATCCTTTCACATCTTGGGCTTCCCGTGGTTTTCTCTTTTTGGTGTTTGGTGGAATTCCTCTCACAGTGGCTCCTCCCAATGGGCAGGTTTTCGCTGGTGACCTGGCCACTACCACCAAGTGCAAGTTCGCGCCTTTAGTCGCCTTTGGCACGTGCCTCGGTATCGGTATGGGCCCAGGGGACTTGAGGGCCTTGAGGGAGGTGCAAATACAACAGATGTGTGAGTTTCCCATTTTGGATGGACATCACCTTGTTTTTCCTTTTCAATTTGCTCCGCACTCCGGACACACTGCGGGAGATGGGTCTGGGGTAGCTGGGCTGCTCTGGAATTGGTTGCTGATCTTGGGAGCAAACATGTCCAAGGCCAGGCTTTCGAGGCGTTGACCCTTTGCCCTCTGTAGACCCATGATTGCTCTGTTTGCCCTACTTGTTCGACTCCAGTCTCGTTTAGCCCTATTACGAAAACATATGAAAACTACTTGGATGGTGTTTCAGGAGGCGTACACCTGTCTGGGTGACCACAGACATCCTCGGTCTTTTGGACACACCGCATCCGAGCAGACCCAAAATCATCCGAGTCTTTTGTCCTGCTGTTGTTAAGCCACGGCGGGGAACCACGTAGCTGACGTACCTAAGAGATACAGAAAACAACCAAACATATTGCAAAGATACTGAATAGATGTTTGTTGCTTTCTTAGATGAACAGAGTCTGGCCCAAGTTCCTAAAGGTGAAGTTCAGGTGTTGTTGGGGAGGTGAAGAGCTTTGGTGGCATCCACATAGAACCTCATAGAACCAAGAAAACGTCTTTTCCACGGGTTGGTCCAAGAAAAACGAGGCGCACGTCCGTCCAGAAACAGCTTCTCCGTTCTCCGGTTCTCCCTGAGATGGTTTCTTCTTCGCCGAGACCCGATCGAGCGGTGAAACGTGCGGGCTTCGCTCACCGCGGTGGTCGCCGAGGTTCAAAGACTCGGGGATCTTTCGCGACAAGGGCCGGAACGACTGGCCGGACTGGCACCACATGATGGCGGACCATCCGGTGGAGTGCGAGAATGGCGAGGCCGGAGCACGTGGAATGAGGAGGGGGGTGTGACAGGAAGGACCCGTGTGGTGCCGTGGTTTACCGCGTTTCCACAAGTTTTTCTTCTGCTGGTACTCGAGTTTTTGGGAAGGGAGCCTCCAATCTAAAGATCTAAAGAGGCACATCTCGGAAGGGATCATGGAGGAACCAAAGTTTCCATGCACCTTGAATAGTGGAATTGATGCACCCTCTTCGTCACAAGACTTGGGATTTCCTCCTTGGCACCTCAGTCCCCATAAGGCATGATAAGAAGATCTGTCCCAGAAATAGAGTTTGCGCCGGACAGAAATCCGACGGTGCTGACTGTATGACCTGGCAAGCTTCGATTTCGATCCATACCCAAAAGGTTTGGGCCAAAACGACGAGAACTGAAAGCCAGGAGCTATTCTATCATTCAAGGATTGCTTGTACTCCGGACCCATTGGCCGTTTTGGCCTTCCGTATTTCCTTGGGACAACCAGAGACGCGATTTCACGTCCAGCATGTGTGGTTTTTCGACTCCTTCTGCGAGGCCTTGACCGCCTTCAAGTTGGAAATCGGCCCCAACACCTTTCAGCTGCTTGGAAGCAGCTCCGACGTTTCGCAGGCCCACACCGATCGTGGAAGAAGTACGCAAGGCTTTTCGCTGTTTGGGTCCGGTAAATCGGTTTTCATTTCAATGAAAGACCCGATAGCCGCGGCGGACCGGTAGCCAGTCTGTTTGGATGTTGGGAGAAAAGCAGCTGGATCGCCTGGATTGCGTGAAGAACTGGTTTCATGCCCAACGATTCCCGAACAAGACGTCAACGCTTCTCAGTCTTCCAATCCCAGCGGCGTTTGCCTGGCAGGGCTCCAAAGTGTTACTTAGCCATGGCATTTCCCGACAGGGACCAGCACGGATCGGAGCACGGCTCGGCCCAACCACCACCCGCCGGCGCGGTGCCCGGGCCCCGCCGGGTCCCGGCACCGTTCGGACTGACCGTTGAACGGGACGAGGTACGAGTGCAGCAAGATTGGTGGCTTGGGCAGCTGCTTCGACTATTGGACCCCCCAAGTGGAGGTGAAGGAGAGGAAAGTTCAAGATGTCCGGACGGTGGAGGTGAATGGATTAGAACTTCACCCTCCATTGTAATATTTATACAATAGTATAATACATATATATATATACACATATTTTACACTATAGGGGGGTTATTCATCAAGAGTCTAGCGTTTGGGGTGAAGCGGGTGAAGCGGGTGAAGCGGGTGAAGCGAGTATCGGGAAAAGGGTGCGGAAGCAGCGGTGGTAAGGGTGATGACTGTCGACATGTCGTCTTCATGCATCTTAGCTTTGCACATATATGTGTCATATGTCCCAGTCGATTAACATTGACCCTACTCTTTTCACAGTCAGGTTCGTCCCCTTTCAATCTGATTCAGACCACCTCGATGCCAAACGCCCCCAAGTTTGCACACAACTGGCCACCGAACCTCTCCCCAACCTCTCCCCATCTGCCTCTTCAGCACCGCCCTCCGGCAGCGCAGGCCTTTAACCAATGGCCTTCCAACTGGGTCAAGACCATGCGCATGCTCCGCACCGAGCCTCTGCGGTGGAGGTCTAGCCGGTCTCGGTGGTCTCGTGGTGGGTCATGAGGTTTCTGGTTTTGGGGGGGCAGGACCGGTGGGTGAAGAAGAGGCTGGAAGCTGTGGGCGTTTTGGTGCTACAGGCTTCTTCCTACCGCTTCCCACGGATCCTTGGTACCATGGTGCACCACCTTGATGTTCTGGCTCGTGTCTTTTCTCCTTGCAGGGCTGCATCGCCATCGCATGTATCTGCCCGGCTGAGCTGAGCTTGGAGGATATCACCGTACTCAGCCTGTACTTCCTACGTCATAGCTTCACGCGCGTACTTCTAACGATGGTTATTGGGTTGTTGGATGTTGTTGGGTTGTTTTAGGGCCAAGTTGGTTGGGTATAGCAGCGGTTAGATAGGAGAACGGTAACGAGATGTAGCAAGGCAAGTGGGATGGTGGTAAGGGCTTGGAGCCACTCGCTGTGCTTTCCCATATGCTTTTGGTAGTGTCTTTTCTTTCGGAAGATCTCCATATGAATATCAATTCAATATATATATATATATGTGTGTGTGTGTGGATTATGTGGATATATGTCTTCACGATGGATTTTGACATGCTTTCCAAAGTCGTCCTACCCACTGTCGCCGTCCACCCCACCGTCCACCCCACCTCCTTTCGGTGACCTTCTCCGAGGACTGCGGGGAGAACTCGGTGATCGCGGCGCTGCACTTCGAGTACAGTGAGGGTGGGAAGTGGGCGCGGTCTCGCTACAGGCGCCGAGACGTCGGGACGGGTTGGGGGTGTGGCGTGGAGGGTGGAGCGCGCGCGGAGGGTGGGCTTGGGGGGAGATGTTGAGACGAAGTTCTTGAGCGGTCTTGTTTCTTGGATTTGGAAGGGGGTTCAAAGATTCTGTGGCATCTATAGCTCTTTCGAGACGTAAGGGAACGACCCGGCAGTGTTTCTTTTTTTGCGAAGAAGTCATTGGACGAGCTGCTTTGAACGAGCTTTGAAGAAGCTGGCGTAAACAACAAAGATGAATGCTTGTTCTCACGGGTAAATTGTTGGGGGGCACTATACAATGGGTGCATATACAACGTTTGTTCTCACAGGGTGATGAGAAGAACCCCGACATGAACATCAACGGTCCTTTGTTCTCACAGCGCCCCCGAGAGTTTGGCAGGTGTCGCGTGCCTTTTTAGAAGCATCCCTCATGTGAGGATCGATTGGACAACATCTATGGTTTTGGGTCGGCCCTTCTTCTAGTTGTTCTTTCAGCATGGCAAGAGGTCGGCTTGGCCGGGCTTGGCCTCCTCTCATCTCCCATTTCAAGGGGGTCCGGTGCTGCCAGGTGCTGCAAGGCCGGTGGAGCGCCGATCACCTTCGATCCACGTGGCCAGGCGGACACGACACGACACGGGCGGGCGAAGCGGCGAAACGAGACGCTAAAGGAAGACACCAGCCACCACTTCCCGAGCGTGGTGGACAAATTTAAGTTTTTTCAAGACAATCGCTTGATATATTAATATATTTTACATATTCAATCATCTTTTCAAGAACATCCTTTGACTTTTCATCAACTATTTTTTTTACATCTCTTTGATGACTTGTGAGTCATTGTGGGTTAAAACCCTGTCAACGCCCTCACTGCTTCTTTCTTCCGCAGGTGGCAGATCTGGTGAGCCCCTTCGACGGCGTCTACTGCCCAGGCGATCGGGACGTGTCGGGCCGCCTGCGCTACGTGAGCAGTGCTGGAAAGGCCTTGAGCTTCGCCGCTTAGAGGGATCAGATGGGGCGATAGGTATAGGTAGAGCCATGCTGTGGGGTCCAGGTCGCAAGTTGAACCTGGTCTGACCTTGCTCTAAACAGAAGAATCGCTGGTTTTGTGAGCTGGATCTGATTTTGAGCTGTAAGCTTTCTTTTCTTATGTTATGCCTCGGGACTAGGGGAGAGGCCAGTACTGTTTTGGTATGAGCAAACCCAGTCAAATGAGGTCTTGACCTGCCGGGTAGGGTGGATGGAAGGGATGGAAGAATGGATCGACCCCAATGACATCCATGGCCCGTGGATAGGCACCCTCCTGTCATCAGGCACCATCAGGCGGTCAAATGTGTGGGTCAAAACCTGGAGCTGCTCAGTGTGCGGATTGTTGTGCAAGAGCGAGTCTTCCAAACCCCGGTTGGTTGACCTTTTCCACATCTTAGTTGAAAGACCCATGGCCATTGTTGAGGTGACGGTGTGACGGGATGTCTCTTCATCCAGTGGAGGGGCACTGACCTTCTCGAAGTGTCACAGGAAACCGTTGGCCTTCTCGGAAGGCTCGTTCAAAAGAACGACGGAAAACGGTGCCAGCTGTGAACTTGACACTCGTGCACTGATGCAAGAACTGGTGCCATCATGTGCCATCAGAACCTGACCAGGGGCCCAACAGAGGAGACCCTCCCGCCATCTCCCTCCTACCTTCTCTTCGCATCTCCACACCTTCTTTTGGGACCTCCCGAGCCCTTGTCCACTGCTCGCAGCACCAACACCAGATCGAGCCCCCCCGAGCCCCCAGGATCGCGACACCGGCAAGTGGTGCATTGGCTCAGACTGCTCCGCGGTCACGTCGCAGGACGAGCCGAAGGAACTCCCGGGCGCTGTCTTCGATGTGGCCACCTGGATCGGCAGGGGAAGGACGTGGGCCCCCCGGCGTGTTTGCCGGAGCTCCCTTTTGGTCGGTCTGTCAACCCCGGATCAAACGATCAAACCCCAAAAAATCTGAGCTGTCTTCACCCGAAGAGTTGCCGGTCATGGTTCGTGGGAGGGACCGAAGGACCCCGCCAGGCACTGGTTTTCCTGGAGGGACCGAAGGACCGGAAGGTCCATCCATTGAAGTGTCTGAACCCACTACTGTAGGTACTAGCGTTAAGTCGACTCAGCTTGTGTAAAGTCGACTTGAAACCGTGTGCCCTTGCAGAACTGCACTCCACAGGGATGTCTAAGCATAGATTAGATTGTATAACAAATGAGCAGCCCAGTTGCCTTTTGAGGTTGGGGCCGCGAGTGGAGGAAGTTAGAGATGAATTCTTGGGACTAGCCCTAGATTGGAAAGTGGATCCCTGTTAAAACCTTTTTACATTGCGACTGTATAGGGGGGGCACGCTAAAACTTAGAAGCCAGTTGACGCAGTTCTCAGTTCACCCTGAACCCGAACCAGAACCAGAACCGCGCCGTTCCAGTCCAGGTACAGGTTCCCGACCACCAAGAGCACTACTATTACTATTACTATTACTATTACTGTTGCTACAACTTACTATTACTATAACTATTACGCTTACTATTACTACTACCACCACCACCACCACTACTACCACTACTACCACTACTATCACTACTATCACTACTACCACTACTACCACTACTACCATTACTACCACTACTACTACTACTACTACCACCACTACTACCACCACTACTACCACCACTACTAC